ATAAATAATAATATGTATGTAAAAAAACAAGGCAGCAGCAAAAGTAATTTTTTTTAAATTTTATTTTTATCAGTTTAACAGAATAAAAGTTAAATAAAAAAGTCTGACGTTTCTGTTCAGTATAAAATATATAATATAAAAAGTGATAAGGAGATTAGAAACATTGTAATAACATTATATCCATAAATACAATTCGGAAGCTGAGGGACGTGTAGAGAAGAGGACTTAAAGGGGAGCTCCTCCGATGACAGAAGGGGCAGCACCAGGTCCAGGTCTTCACATTTCTGCCCCTGTAGCTGAGAGTCGGGGACGTGGGAACACATATATACATTCATTTCACTCTCACAGGTCTGGTTCGAGGTACTTTGACGTTGTGGTCATGTGACCAGTCTTTTTTGTACAGTTCTCATTGGCGTCTTCCGTGGTCCATGGTTGGGGGAAGTTCAGGTTCGGCAGCAGTAGCCGCATCCTTTGTTCCGGCAGCATTTACAGCAGTATGTGCAGAGATGAAGACCGATGTGCCGCTTGTCCCGGACCAACAAATCTGCAGATTCCTAGAAGGTAAAGATGAAGCCAAGTTATAGCTGAACTCCAGGAAAACAGAGACAGTAAGTCAGATGAGATGCATCTATGGGAGCCAGAGCTGTAATTATGTGAAATGGGGCCCCTTAGCAAACCTAAAAGGGGCCCCTTCCTAAATCTTGAATCTCCATCATAAACACAATTCTTGTACGGATACAGAATACTTAAAGTGTTACAAAACCCAGGACCCTGCATTCACTATATCTGGTCTCCCCGGACCCTGCATTCACTATATCTGGTCTCCCCGGACCCTGCATTCACTATATCTGGTCTCCCCGGACCCTGCATTCACTATATCTGGTCTCCCCGGACCCTGCATTCACTATATCTGGTCTCCCCGGACCCTGCATTCACTATATCTGGTCTCCCCGGACCCTGCATTCACTATATCCGGTCTCCCCGGACCCTGCATTCACTATATCCGCTCTCCCCGGACCCTGCATTCACTATATCCGCTCTCCCCAGGACCCTGCATTCACTATATCCGGTCTCCTCGGACCCTGCATTCTCTATATCTGGTCTCCCTGGACCCTGCATTCACTATATCCGGTCTCCCTGGACCCTGCATTCACTATATCCACTCTCCCTGGACCCTGCATTCACTATATCTTATGTCCACAGACCCTGCATTCGCTATATCAGGTCTGCCTGGACCCTGCATTCACTATATCTGGTCTCCCTGGACCATGTATTCACTATATCCGGTCTCCACGGACCCTGCATTCACTATATCCGCTCTCCACGGACCCTACATTCACTATATCTGCTCTCTTTGGACCCTGCATTCACTATATCTGCTCTCCTCAGACCCTGCATTCACTATATCTGGTCTCCTCGGACCCTGCAATCACTATATCTGGTCTCCCCGGACCCAGCATTCACTATATCTGGTCTCTCCCGGACCCTGCAATCACTATATCTGGTCTCTCCGGACCCCGCATTCACTATATCTGGCCTCCCCGGACCCTGCATTCACTATATCTGGTTTCCCAGGACACTGCATTCACTATATCTGGTCTCCACAGACCCTGCATTCACTATATCTGATCTCCCTGGACCCTGCATTCACTATATCTGATCTCCCTGGACCCCGCATTCACTATATCCGGTCTCCCCTGGACCCTGCATTCACTATATCCGGTCTCCTGGACCACGCATTCACTATATCCGGTCTCCACGGACCCTGCATTCACTATATCCGCTCTCCACGGACCCTGCATTCACTATATCCGCTCTCCCCGGACCCTGCATTCACTATATCTGCTCTCTTTGGACCCTGCATCACTATATCTGCTCTCCTCAGACCCTGCATTCACTATATCTGGTCTCCTCGGACCCTGCAATCACTATATCTGGTCTCCCCGGGCCCAGCATTCACTATATCTGGTCTCCCCGGACCCTGCAATCACTATATTTGGTCTCCCCGGACCCTGCATTCACTATATCTGGTCTCCCCGGACCCTGCATTCACTATGTCCGGTCTCCCCAGACCCTGCATTCACTATATTTGGTCTCCCCGGACCCTGCATTCACTATATCTTGTTGTCTCCCCGGACCCAGCATTCACTATATCTGGTCTCCCCGGACCCTGCAATCACTATATCTGGTCTCCCCGGACCCTGCATTCACTATATCTGGCCTCCCCGGACCCTGCATTCACTATATCTGGTTTCCCAGGACACTGCATTCACTATATCTGGTCTCCACAGACCCTGCATTCACTATATCCGCTCTCCACGGACCCTGCATTCACTATATCCGCTCTTCCCGGACCCTGCATTCACTATATCTGCTCTCTTTGGACCCTGCATTCACTATATCTGCTCTCCTCAGACCCTGCATTCACTATATTCCGCTCTCCCCGGACCCTGCATTCACTATATCCGGTCTCCCAGGACCCTGCATTCACTATATCTGGTCTCCTCGGACCCTGCATTCACTATATCCGCTCTCCCCGGACCCCGCATTCACTATATCCGCTCTCCCCGGACCCCGCATTCACTATATCCGCTCTCCCCGGACCCTGCATTCACTATATACCAGAAAATAGCTTTAGATTTACCAAAAACCATATAATATGAGATTTATTTATTTATTTATTTATTATAGGTACTTATATAGCGCCGTTAATTTACGCAGCGCTTTACATATATATTGTGCATTCACATCGGTCCCTAACCCTCAAGGGGTGTACAATCTAACCTGTACAAACCTGAACAACAGTTTCAATTGTATCCACTTAGGCAGGCCCTTGCAATACATAGTTGAAGGTAAATCTAAAGGAATTGGGTGGTAATTGGACAGAAAATTGTATATATACAATTTTATTTCAATTTTATGTTCAATTTCTGCCCAATTTCCTTTAGATTTACCTTCAACTATGCAATGCAAGAGCCTGCCTAACTGGATACAATTGAAAGCGTTGTTTAGGTTTGACCTCATATTATATGGTTTTTAGTAAATCTAAAGCAAAATTCTCAAGAAAATTGTATAGTGTATGGCCAGCCTTAGAGTGGCGCCGCTGTCTCTCTTCTCTACCTGCGTATCTACAAGCTCTTCCAGCCGGCTGCCTCCTCTCACAACCCACATATCCACAAGCCTTCCATCAAAGATGGACTTGGATGATATTTCCACATGGACCTTCCATTAATGTTAACCATCTATGGTCCACTCCCTGACACCCCCACCACCCCCTGACACCCCCCCCCACAGGGTAGATGATCTAGCGCTCCCTATCCCCATTTACTATATCATCTTAGAATATCCTACCTTGATGTCTGCATTTTCCATCTGTGGGTGAACCAGCTGGGCCGTAGAATCCTCATGTTCAGTCTGAAAAAAAAAATAAATAAAGAATTATATTTGTTACTTTTATAGATTGCTTCAAAAGGTCTGGACGTGTTTTTAATCTGATTATTATTATTTATTACAGGTACTTGCATAGCGCCAGCAAATTACGCGGCATATTACATATTTATTACACATTCACATCAGTAAATATGTACCAGCAGTAACACCGTAGTGCCAGGGAGTATCCAATGGCCTTTATGGATGAAGAAACTTGACCTGAACTTTGTAAGTTTTTTGTTGTTTTCCTCTAAAACTAACTTTTAGGGTTCTCCCATTACAAACCGTTTTTATTTTTCTATTTTTGGGGAAAAAAAAAGTTCTGGATCAATGGACAGTATTAAAAACACATTTCTGAAGGTAGCCGGGGAGTTCGCAAGCCAACACTCCGCAAAGACCTGCGGATAAATACACGCCAGACTTGCAGGCATATCGTATGTTAAATTTCTGGCCTCCTCAGACCCTGCATTCACTATATCCACTCTCCCTGGACCCTGCATTCACTATATCCACTCTCCCCCCCGGACCCCGCATTCCCTATATCCACTCTCCCTGGGACCCTGCATTCACTATATCCGGTCTCCCCGGACCCTGCATTCACTATATCCACTCTCCCTGGACCCTGCATTCACTATATCTGGTCTCCCCGGACCCTGCATTCACTATATCCGGTCTCCCCGGACCCTGCATTCACTATATCTGGTCTCCCCGGACCCTGCATTCACTATATCCGGTCTCCCCGGACCCTGCATTCACTGTATCCACTCTACCTGGACCCTGCATTCACTATATCCGGTCTCCCCGGACCCTGCATTCACTATATCCGCTCTCCCTGGACCCTGCATTCACTATATCCCGCTCTCCCCGGAGCCTGCATTCACTATATCTGCTCTCCCCGGACCCTGCATTCACTATATCTGGTCTCCCCGCACCCTGCATTCACTATATATCTGGTCTCCCAGGACCCTACATTCACTATATCTGGTCTCCCCGGACCCTGCATTCACTATATCTGGTCTCCCTGGACCTTGCATTCACTATATCTGGTCTCCCCGGACCCTGCATTCACTATATCCGCTCTCCCCGGACCCTGCACTCACTATATCCGGTCTCCCCGGACCCTGCATTCACTATATCTGCTCTCCCCGGACCCTGCATTCACTATATCCACTCTCCCTGGACCCTGCATTCACTATATCCACTCTCCCTGGACCCTGCATTCACTATATCCGCTCTTCCCGGACCCTGCATTCACTATATCCTCTCTCCCCGGACCCTGCATTCACTATATCTGGTCTCCACAGACCCTGCATTCACTATATCTGGTCTCCCCGGACCCCGCATTCACTATATCCGCTCTCCCTGGACCCTGCATTCCCTATATCCGCTCTACCTGGACCCTGCATTCACTATATCTGGTCTCCCCGGACCCCGCATTCACTATATCTGGTCTCCCCAGACCCTGCATTCACTATATCTGGTCTCCCAGGACCCTGCATTCACTATATCCGGTCTACCCAGACCCTGCATTCACTATAAAATGAATTAACCTATTGCTAGCTGACACTAAGGGTTTATTTACTAAAGCTGGAGAGTCCAAAATCAGACTCCCTTCTGCATAGAAACCAATCAGCTTCTAACCTCAGCTTGTTCAATGAAACTTTGGCAATGAAACCTGGAAGCTGATTGGTTTCTATGCAGAAGTGAGTCTGATTTTGCACTCTCCAGCTTTAGTAAATAAACCCCTAAGTGTGCAATGGGGAAGGGACTATACAATTGAAATATATGGAGGTCTAGTGTGAACTATCAATGTATGTTGGATTGTATGAAAAAAAATATACCCTGAGAACTTATTTTAAGTATTTCTTTTGTAAAAAAAAGGTTTATGTATGCGAGTGGAACCTCAAAAGTAGAAGACGTGGGGCACTGTCTAGCAACACCCCTGTAAAGCAACGAGGATAATCATTCAATGGGGAACGTCTGGTCTGATGACAACTGTCTTCAATGAGATATCCCTACACTTTGAGGAGATCTCTTCTTAGTTCCTGCTGTGTCTCCAGGACAGGAAGTAAAGGTAACACTCCCCAATGGAACAAAGATGGCAACAATAGACCTGACTGGGTTTTAACCCTTCCAACCATTCTCGAAACCTCACGAAAAACCACCTACGGTGTGTGTTTCATCCCCAATGAAAACTGTGTGTAGAATATTTTGAATAATATTAGATTGTATATAAATACTATGATCCCATATATTGAGTTTATCTCAAAGCCAATCTTTACAAAATGTAATCAATGTATACAAAAGTAAAAAAAAAATGTTTTGGCTTTAAATATACCTTAAAAACAAAGCATTCTTTTGGTAGAGGAGACAACTGCTGTTTTTGGAAATAACCTTCATACAAAAGGTCAACCACCAGTCTGGTGGGAATTATTTTATGTTTGTCTATCACAAATCTGAGGTGGTTTTTATAAACCATGTTGTTATTGTTTCCAACAACCAATTTACCTCTTATAATCAAAGCATCTTTTTGGCAGAGAAGACTACGGCTGTTTTTGGAAATAAACTTCATACTAAAGGTCAACCACCATTCTGGTGGGCACCACTTGATTTGGGTTTACTTTTGTATACATTGACTACCTATCACATATCAGTGGTGGTTTTTATAAACATTTTCCTACAACCCATTTACCTCTTTTAATATACTGTAAAAAATAAAGCATCTCGTTGGTAGAGGAGACTATGGCTGTTTTTGGAAATTACCTTCTTACTAAAGGTCAACCACCAGTCTAGTGGGCACCATTTGATGTCTACCTATCACATATCTTGGGTGGTTTTTACAAACCACGGTGTTAAATTTTTCCCCACAGCCCACCTCTTTCAACATTTAACAAATATAGCATCTGTTTGGTAAAGAAGGCTACTGCTGTTTTTGGAAATAACTTTCATACAAAAGGTCAACCACCAATCTGGTGAGCACCATTTAATGGAACCTATCACATATCTGTGGTGGTTTTTGTAAACCATGAAGTTACTTTTCCCCACAGCCCACTTCTTTCAATATTCTTTAAAAATATAGCATCTGTTTGGTAAAGAAGACTACTGCTGTTTTTGGAAATAACCTTCATACAAAAGGTCAACCACCAATCTGGTGGGCACCATTTTACATCTATCACATATATGTGGTGGTGTTTATAAACCATGATGTTACCTTTTCCTAAAGCCCATTTATATATAAAGGTCTACCACCAGTCTGGTGGGCACCATTTGATGTCTACCTATCACATATCTATGGTGGTTTTTACAAACCATAGTGTTACATTTTTCCCACAGCCCACCTCTTTCAACATACTTAACAAATATAGCATCTGTTTGGTAGAGAAGGCTACTGCTGTTTTTGGAAATAACCTTCATACAAAAGGTCAACCACCAGTCTAGTGGGCACCATTTTACGTCTACCACACACATATATGGTGGTTTTTACAAACCATAGTGTTACATTTTTCCCACAGCCCACCTCTTTCAATATACTTAAAAAATATAGCATCTGTTTGATAGAGAAGACTACTGCTGTTTTTGGAAACAACCTTCATACAAAAGGTCAACCACCAATATGGTGGGCACCATTTTACATCTATCACATATATGTGGTGGTTTTTATAAACCATGATGTTACCTTTTTCCCACAGCCCACCTCTATCAATATACCTAAAAAAATATAGCATCTGTTTGGAAGAAAAGACTACTGCTGTCTTTGGAAACAACCTTCATACAAAAGGTCAACCACCAATATGGGTGGGCACCATTTTACATCTATTACATATATGTGGTGGTTTTTATTAACCATGATGTTACTTTTCCCTTCAACCCATTTACCTCTTTCAATATATTGTAAAAAAAAAGTAAAGCATCTTTTGGTAGAGAAGACTACTGCTGTTTTTGGAAATAACCTTCATACAGAAGGTCAACCACCAATCTGGAGGGCACCATTTGACATCCACCTATCACATATCTTTAGTGGCTTCTATACACTGCGGTGTTACCTTTCCCTACAACCCACTTACCTCTTTCAGAAAGGCACAGAGTCCTTGGTGGAAGGCAGCAGAGAGGATGAGAATTAGGTAGAGGTAGGTGGATTTCATCTTCGGTTTCTTGAGATGACCCAAAAGTCTATGTGGCAGGTGAGTTCAGTCTGGCGTTACCTTTTCCCACAGCCCATCTCTTTCAACATACTTAAAAAATATAGCATCTGTTTGGTAGAAAAGACTACTGCTGTTTTTGGAAACAACCTTCATACAAAAGGTCAATCACCAATATGGTGGGCACCATTTTACATCTATTACATATATGTGGTGGTTTTTTATAAACCATGATGTTACCTTTTCCTACAACCCATTTACGTCTTTCAATATACTTAAAAAAATAAAGCATCTGTTTGGTAAATAAGACTTCTGCTGTTTTTGGAAATAACGTTCATACAAAAGGTCAGCCACCAGTATGGTTGACACCATTTGATGTCTACCTATCACATATTTTTGGTGGTTTTTATAAACCACGGTGTTACATTTTTCCCACAGCCCACCTCTTTCAATATACTTAAAAAAATAAGGCATCTTATGGTAGAGAAGACTACTGCTGTTTTTGGAAATAACCTTCATACAAAAGGTCAACCACCAATCTGGTGGGCACCATTTTACATCTATCACATATATGTGGTGGTTTTTATAAACCATGATGTTACCTTTCCCTTCAACCCATTTACTCTTTCAATATACTTAAAAAAATAAAGCATCTGTTTGTTAAAGAAGACTACTGCTGTTTTTGGAAACAACCTTCATACAAAAGGTCAACCACCAATCTGGTGATCACCATTTGACGTCTACCTATCACATATCTTTAGTGGCTTCTATACACTGCGGTGTTACCTTTCCCTACAACTCACTTACCTCTTTCAGAAAGGCGCAGAGTCCTTGGTGGAAGGCGGCAGAGAGGATGAGAATTAGGTAGAGGTAGGTGGATTTCATCTTCGGTTTCTTGAGATGACCCAAAAGTCTATGTGGCAGTTGAGTTCAGTCTGAGAGACCTGTGTGGTTCATCCGTCAGAGCAGAGCTGTATATATGGACGGGTCCCAGCCTGGAGGTCACGGAAGAGGTCACTTTTCTGATAATCCATGGCGCCTTCTGCTTGTTTATTTTCTTTCTTACGAGCAGAGTCAGTATTACAAATTTTGTAATTTTTCCAGATGTTATCACATAGCTTGGGATCTTTACCGTAAGAGTCATAGGATTTCAGACGTGGGGAAATTCTGGAACATAGGATGTACTGTACCTGGTGGATAGGAAGTGACTTAAAGGTTACATTACAATTGTACTGAACAGCAGTATGTCATCCTGTCCTCTAATACTACAAAAGGAAAAATGACAGAAGCAGATACATAGAGGATACGTCTCAAAAGAAAAAACATGAACGGAAATGAAATTCGATGTAAACCCCTAACTTGATCACATTTACTTTGCTAAACCATCGTTTATCATAAACAATTGTTATTTTTAAATAAAATACAAATGTCATCCTTTGTTACATCTCAGTGGTGCTGATCTCCTGCAGCCTCTTCGCAGTCACTTCCTCTAGTGATGGCCGCATGGCATTTCTAGGGGAAAACCCACGCACATTTGTTTCTCTCTTTTGTTTTTTTCTTTTTTCTAAAGCTGGCCACAGATGGTTTGAATCTGGCCGGTTCAGAAGGGACCGGTCACGATTTGATCCATCCATAGCCAGGCTAATTGTTCCCAAGTCGATCGATCGATATAACCTGCATGTTGGATTTTAGCATGCAATTATTGCCAGCGGCTATAGCTGTCAGCCAGGGCCGTGGATAAGGGAATGCCACATTGCTGTGTGGACCTGGGAACTCCATACAGCAATGGTGGGAACCCTTCATAACGAGCACAGCAGGTGTTCAGAGGTGGAAAATGGTGAAACCCTCATAATGGGCACAGCATTTGTGGGTGTAGCAGTACAGACCCTGTAACTCAGCTTAGGGATGGTGGAAACCCTTCATAATAGGCACAGCAGGTGTACAGCGCCAGGAACTCCATGCTGGGATGGTGGGAACCCCTCATGAGTACAGCATGTGAAAAGACCAGGGAACCCAGCACAGAGATGGTGGGAGCTCCTCATAATGGGTGGGGTGCAGACTAAGGAACTTAGTGCAGAGATGTTGGGAGGCCCTCATAATGGGCACAGCAGGTATACAGACCCAGGAACTCGGCATAGGGATGGTGGGAACCACTTATAAAGAGCACTGCAGATATACAGACCCAGGAACTCGGCACAGGGATGGTGGGAAACCCTTATAATGGGCACAGCAGGTATGCAGACCCAGGA